TTCTTCATCAATGGAGTCTTGTGTGGTGAGCGTGCATACAGGCCATGGTGGTGATTGCATTACTTATTGTTCTCTTTGAAACAATTGTACCTGCTAACTCCAGGTCTCGGAAGCTCTCCGCAAGTGCTCCTTGGCTCTTGGATATCACTATGGGCTCAGAATAGTCTCATAATACACACAGAAGGATTCACACTTGTATTTCCGGATCCACACTTGTGTTTTTCAATGCACACACAAATGTGTTCCGTTTCATATATAAATAAAATCCAAATACAGAAAAAAGTTTTACATATGTATTTTTGATCCTCACATATTTGTTTTCCGTTTAAATCCTCTGAACCTGCAAACACAAACCGCTTTCTGTGCACGGATCGCTATGCATTCGTGTGTGGGTTTTTTGAGACTCCCCTGACGGTCAGCCGATTCGTACTTGTAATTGTTTCTATCTATAGCCAATCAGATGTCTCCTCAATTCTAAGCCAATCACATGAGCGCGCCCCCACGAGGGTATGATTTCTTGCGTTCATGACGTAGCGCTTCATGTACGCATTTTGCGCTGTCCGGTCAGCTCGCTAAACAGAGGGCGGGGCATCAGGTGATCATGCAGAGCTGCGTGTCTCCGTCAGACTCAGCAGCTGATCTGATCTCTCTCTCGCGTCCGGTTATACTTCACTCGCGTTTGTTACCTTTTTACTAACGGTATCTCGGCACCGAAACCGTCGTTTCGGTTACACACCGGTGGTTTCTGACTCGGCTCGTTGTCAGCCGGTAACCAGCTGCCCAGACATTTCGAGGGGAAAAAGGATGCAAACGGGGCGTTCGGGTGCCGTGGGAAGAACCTCCGTTTATTCACATTCTTCAGACTAATCAGTTACATTGACACTGTATTGCATACATACAGACTAGTTACTTTTCCAGTTCTGACCACTTTCTCTATACTTTCGTCTCTCTCTAAATATCTCCGCACTTCGCCTTGGCCATCACATTTTACACACACACACACGCACTCCAAAAACCCACGACCCCTTGCGGCTGCTACTCTTAAAGGTCCCATGTCATGCTTTTCCGGTTATTACCCGTCCCCTTGTGTGTTATGAATGTTTTTATGCATGTAAACGGTGAGCAGAGTCAAAACCCTCAAAGTACACCCTGTAGCGAGTAAAACTCTAACACAGAAAATACCTCCCCAAAACGCCTCGTTGGAGATACGTCATTGTCCATTGTTTACTTCCTGGGTATTGTGACGTAGGAATGGCCAGTAACCACGCCCAGAGCTATGACTCGATACGGTCATGCGGTACCCGGAACCAAATGGACCAATCCGTGGAGCCGTTACGTTACGTCCGCGGAGCCGTTACGTTAAGCCCCCGCTGATTGGTCAAAATTGACCAATCCACGGACTTCCTCACACACTCAGTGCAGGCAGCTCTGCTGATTTCTCCTCCCTGGCTGCAGGCTGATAACAGACAGTTGGGATCGCGGCGAAATTCTCTCTGCAGACCCATTCTCTCTGCAGACCCATTCTCTCTGCAGACCCATTCTCTCTGCAGACCCATTCTCTCTGCAGACCCGTTCTCTCTGCAGACCCATTCTCTCTACAGACCCATTCTCTCTGCAGACCCGTTCTCTCTGCAGACCCATTCTCTCTGCAGACCCATTCTCTCTGCAGACCCATTCTCACAGTGTTTATCAACCTTTTTCTTACTCAATATCAAGCCACACTTATTGTTTTTACTTAGGCTGTGACTTTGTGTGTGCTCAGGATGAGTTTGGCTGTGTTTCGATGTTGCTAAACAAGGAAACCACACCTCCACTGAGCTCAGCGCGATTCACAACGTCCCGACCAATCAGAGCAAACTGTGCTCACAGGGAGGGTGGGGGCTGGAGCTATTGGAGCTACAACGAGCCGTTAAAGGCATAGAGTGAAATTCAGTGAATACACGTAGTTTACAGAGATGCTGTATGAGAAACCAATGTGAGTTTGGAAAATTGCACAATATAAATATATTCTAGTAGACCTCAACAAGGGAATTATGATCAGTGGAAATGGCCATGACATGGGACCTTTAAAGTGACAGGCCAAGCCTGTAACACGTTTATGTCCATATCGATCAGATCCAGCTCTCCTGATCGGCCTTTATAGAGAGCACCTATCAAGCTATTATGAGTGCATATCGGCCGATAATGACCGGCGGGGCTCCCCCCGTTGACAGTTCACTGTCTAGCACTGGCTTCGTAGTGCACTGATCGATTAGGCTAAGCTAACCTGTAGCTGCTCCCTCCACACTCACAACAACTTCATACAGACATAAATAAAGCAGCTGTATTCGCCATACAGGAAACACACATTTCAAACGGTTTTGCCTGCCGTTTTTGTGTACACAAGCATTCATCAATGGTTTGGAAAGTGGCGCTGTACCTTAATAATATAAAGGCTTGTATTTGCGTGCATTTCCTGTTCGGAAAGTGGCGCTGTACTGAGAGTGGAGGGTGTCCTGAGATTAGCGCCTGCATGCAGGCTCCATGGACCTGTCAGCTCCGGACAGCGCAAAATGCGTACATGAAGCACTACGTCATGAACACAAGAAATCTACACTCGTGGGGGCGCGCTCATGTGATTGGCTTAGAATTGAGGAGACATCTGATTGGCTATAGATAGAAACAATTACAAGTACGAATCGGCTGACCGTCAGGGCAGTCTAAAAAAAACACACACAAATGCACAGCGATCCGTGCACAGAAAGCTGTTTGTGTTTGCAGGTTCAGGGGATTTAAACGGAAAACAAATATGTGAGGATCAAAAATACATATGTAAAACTTTTTTCTGTATTTGGATTTTATTTACATGTATATGAAACGGAATACATTTGTGTGTGCATTGAAAAACACAAGTGTGGATCCCATGCCCGGCGCCGTGGGAGGGCCAGGCCCTCCCATTTGACATTCTTGCCCTCCCCCAATAAACACGATTTTTATTATTTATAAAAATTAAAAAATATATATATATTTTTTTTTTGTTATAAATAAACAGTGAACTTTTATGCTACGATGTATGTCCGATAGTAACTAAAACAAAAAAATCGCTGGCTACGTCAAATAAATTCATGTGTTCATTTGTGAATCGTCCACATTTAGACCAATCACAGCGTCACACTCTGCTGCCTATTCTGGATTTGTTTATTGTGCATTCTGTAGACTCCCATTTCTGTTTGAATTACACAATGGACATCAGAAATTGGCTCAAAAGATTTATTAAAATGAAATAGCGCTGAAAGAACTGCAGCCGATGCAGCTGCTGGCGACCCTGCACCTGCCGTTGCAGCAGCACGCCTTAATGTCACAAGCTTGACCTCGGCAAACCCCGGAGCTGAGTTAGCGAGCCCAAGCCTTGACTCATCAAGGCGGCCGCCACCAACGCTTTCCTCCGAGGCACAGCTCCTTGTGCCCCTACCATCACCACCTGCGTTGCCACACCCTGTACCACACCCGCCAGCATCCTCCTCCTCCTCCTCCTCCTCCTCCTCCTCCTCCTCCTCCTCCTCCTCCTCCTCCTCCTCCTCCTCCTCCTCCTCCTCCTCCTCCGTCGTGCCGGAGCCTCCACTACAGACGCTACCTTGCATCACATCAACAGGTACTATTGGGACAGCAACCGCTCAAAGACCAACAGCCCCAGATGATCTTGGGGTTAATAAACCCAACAGGTGAAACTGGATCGTTTTCCAGGGAGATTGTTTTCAGGAAAGAAGCGCACGGTACACAACAGACCATGGCTTGAAGATTCGTTAAAAGCAGACGCAGCCTTTTGTTTCCCCTGTAGACCGTTTAAAGTCAATACATCTTCATCTGATGCGGCTTTTACTGTCAAAGGTTTTTGCCACTGGAAACGCCATAATAGAGCTAACAGCAGCTCATCGTCTCCGTCTCTACTATTTCTCTCCGAGTGCAGCGATGAGGAAGCTGCCATCCTTAACCAGTGTGCCTTGCTCGTGATTTACCAGTGTTTGTGCTGCCACGCACACAATGTTTCAAAAGTGGTTTCTATGTTGCCCTTTATTTGTGTATGTATTTGCGATAAGTGTGCGTCTTTGCGCAATGCTGTTGGCCTTGCTGTTTGATATTGTGCCGCAGGCCCGCAGCACGTGACGGTGTTGTGTGCCCTCCCATGAAAATCATATGCCCTCCCTTTAAATTTGTTCTGGCGCCGGGTCTGGTGGATCCGGAAATACAAGTGTGAATCCTTCTGTGTGCATGTGTGTATTATGAGACTATTCTGAGCCCATACATCTCTTTTGATAATTATTTTCAATCCTCTGTCAGAAATCTTGCGAGGAGCACCTGGTTGTGGATGGTTTATGGTGAAACAATGTTCTGTTCACTTCCGGATTATGGCCCCAACAGTGCTCTCTGGAACATTCAGAAGTTCAGAAATCCTTCTGTAACCAATGCCATCAGTGTGCTTTGTAACTATAAGGTTGCGAAGGTCTTGAGAGTGCTCTTTGCTTTTCCCCACCATGAGAGGTTTCTTGTGTGACTCCTTGGTAATGAGACTTCTTTTTGTAGGCCATCAGTCGGGACTGAACCAGCTGATATTAATTTGCCTCTTCAAGGGACAGGATTGCTTTCTGATTACTGCTAGATTTCAGCTGGTGTCTTCGCTTTTGTCATGTGTTCAATACTTTTTCCCTGTGTCATTCCATTTTATTACACATAACTTAATTTCTGAACTTTTTTTAACATATGTAACATTAAGCTGTCTGTGGCTCTTTCCTGCTGTAACGATGCAAATGTCTCCTCTGTGGGACTAATAAAGGTATTCTGATTCTGATTTTGGTTTCCTTGAATTGCATCGGCTGTTACCGACATCTGGTGATAATGTCATGTCAATAGCACCTTTAGAAATATATTTACTGAGAAAAATGGTGACGTGTTCAATACTTATACCCACTGTAAATGTTTGAGTATTGGTGGGTAACATGAAAGTAAATGGTGTGTGTCTGTAGGTTCCCTGGACTCCACAGAGGGGACTTACTCAAGCAAGGCTCAGGCGGGCAGACAGTCCCAGCAGGAGACCCCCACCTCCTCCTCAAAGAAACATCCAGGTAGGACTGTCTTTCAGAGAGACTGAGCTCTGTCTGCACACATTTTAAACTACGGTCTGCCAGTTAAGAAAGAGACTATATGCTCTTGTTTTATGTCAAAGGTCATGAAGCAAAAGATGTTTAACATTACCGTACTGAAGTGGCTTCACAAGGACAGTGGCACGGAGAAATTAATCTCTGCCAAAATATGATTGTAGCTGGTGAGGCTAATGCCTAACATGCTAGCGCTGTCAGGTGAAAAACAGTAACTCTGGGGGCTTTCTTATTTTCTCTGTACTGGGAGGGTTTCTTCCTCCTGACATGTTGTTTTCTGGAACTATATATAAATTCATTCAATGAACAGTTATTAGAGTGGGAAAAAGCTCCCTCAGCTTGTTAAGTGTCAATTAACAAACAAGCTAACTGTCAATATGGAAGTTTATTAGCGCAGTCACTCCCAGAAAATGTGTTTTCATCGTTCTCAAGATAAATGTGTACATGAACTCCTCTCAAACCTGTTAAGCCCCAAGGTCCCCCTCGGCGGGTACTTTTTTTTCACGACACTGTGTCTCAGGGGATCTTAATATTTACGAACCTATTAATGTGTTATACCAGATTAACGGGAATAATGTCAGCTAACTGACGATACAAACCATTTTTACCAAAACACAAGTCTCATAAGAAGCATCTAAATTACCCTTGAGCGAAAAATGCTAACGCACTTTGGCACAGAACTCAAGATAAAAGTACCCTTATTACTTATCGTAGCTGCACATACAAGATATCCGATTAAAGCTGAGATTCCACAGATTATTTAGGTATATAGTATCATCACTGAGTGATCCGAACTCGGACAGGGGAAGCAAACACAGACATCACAACACGTACCTTTACAGAGCTTCTAGGGAGATCGTTTCACCCCAGCTGTCAATCTGATCAAAAGACTGTAGACACTGTAGAAGGTCTGAGATGTACTCTGGGGCCAGCCCATTAAGCGATTTAAAAACAAATAATAAAATCTTAAAATGGACAGGAAGCCAGAATAGGTGTGATGTGTTCATGCTTGTGTGTTCCTGTAAGCAGCCGAGCCGCATCATTTTGTACCAGCTGCAGGCGTGCCAGCGAGGTCTTGTTTAGGCCAACATAAAGTGCATTACAGTAATCTAGACGCGTAGAAACAAAGGCATGAATAACACGCTCAAAGTCTAAAAAGGATAAAACTGGTTTAATTTTGGGCAGGAGCCTCAAGTGATAAAAACTGAGTTGATTTGTTTATCCAATTTAAAAGCACTGTCAATTTTGATGCCCAGATTAGTGACAATGGGTTTTGCATACGGTTGCAGGGAACCCAGGTCAATGACCTCCGTTTTGCTGTCATTTATATTTAAAAAGTTAAGCGCCATCTAGGCCTTTATGTCATTAAGACAGTCAACCTGAAAAACCTGAAAAACAGGCTCAGGGCTTAACAGGTTAAGTGTCAATTAACAAACAAGCTAACTATCAATATGGAAGTTTATTAACGCAGTCACTCCCAGAAAAATGTGTTTTCATCGTTCTCAAGATAAATGTGTACATGAACTCCTCTCATGGCTGCCTGCAAACCATTACTCCTCTTCTGTGGAGCAATCTATACTCAACAAAGCTCATAAGCTATGATGGTTATATCCATGTTGGCTCTCCATTGCTTGAAATGAACGCAAACCCATTCCTTCAAGTTAATCAATCCAGTTTGCTGTTGGTCAACCTACTCATTTGTGTGTCAAAGTTGAGCTCTGTGACTGATGTGCATTTATTCAGTTACTTTACTTTTATTTGAGATCTATAGAGTTGAAATGGGGAGACAGAGGAGAGGACATTGCCTGAATGTTTGACTGACTCTGGATTCAGAATGGCTTTCTAGGCAGCGGTTTAGGCATATGGGAAAAACTTCTTAGCAAAACCAAGACCAAGACAGGCGAGACCGAATCAAGACCGGAACCAGACTAGTGTGAATGCAACACTACATAATGCACTTACAATAAAATGTGGAAGATACCATAGTCAGTTTGATCTGAAAGATCCACATCATCATAAAAAGAGCCACATACAAACAGTAAGATATACATTTAACTTCATCATATTAATTCAAAAAGTGATTATTTTCATTTAAAAACAGTAAATTGGTAAGATCTTAATATAAAACATTGTAATGTAAATTGTAAGGTTATTCAAATGTCTAGAAAAGTTGGACGTAGTGCCAGCCGTCTCTGTGAGGGTCACATGACATAATTTACACAATGCCCAGTGTTTTTTTCTTGAGTGTTTCTTCGCAGTTTACATTTTTGTGGTTTGTGTAGCCAATTGTAATTATCGTTGAATTTCCCGACACGTTCACTTCAAGAGCATTTGAGTATGTTTGAACGGGAGGAAATATACAGACATTAAGATTCGGAGTCTGATGAGTGCTTGAAGTCAGTGAAGTCACGTGATTGGTTGCATTTGAAACATGGCGATTTACATCTAGTCACATCCCCAGCCCCAGCCGTGGTCTTGACGGGTCTTTACATAAAATCTTGATTCCTATAGGTCTGAGACTGAGACAAAACCGAGTAGAAATGCAGTCGATTCCAAGAAAAGACCGGTCTCGAGTATACTACAACACTACTAACTAAACATCAATCTATGAAATAAGTAAAAAGTACAACATTTGTTTCCAAAATGTAGAGTAGAAGTATAAAGTAGTATAAAATGAAAATACTCTGGTAAAGTACCTCAAATATGTAATTAGGTACTATACTTGCGTAAATGTACTTAGTAACTTTCAATCTCTGTATATTCTGTGTAGAAACATTTCCCTCCTGAAAAGGAGGAAAGGAACCTAATTTTCAAATTAGGAAGCAATCCTATATTTATTATTTCTAAATGTCACATGGTTTTTCTCCTTCCTTGCTTCAGGTTATAGGTGATGAAGGAGTTTGCGATTTGAAGTGTGACCCTGACATGAAACTAGTGGACAGTACTTTCTCTCACATTATACACTTCCTGTCTTTCGATGTCCTCACAGGTCAGAGGTTATTCCGGCGCTCAGGGGGGGGCTCTGACTCCTTCAGTGAAACCAGCTCCATCGGACAAGCTGAGGAGACACCAAGGGAGGGGAGCAGCTCTCCGAGCGTCCCCCCACCCTCCTCTCCCCCTGAGGAGGACTCACACTCTGCCGCTGATGCTGTGGCAGAGGAAACCCAGGAGCCTGCTGTGGAGGAGCACCCACACATGGAGGTGGAGGAAGAGGAGGAAGAAGAGGAGGAGAGGCAGCCTGAAGGCCAGGAGGCAGAGCAGAGCGGGAGATAGGTGTGTCCTCCAGCCGTCCTCTGAATGCTACCAGCCTAAGAGAGGTGTTCTTATGTTGTGAATCCAACTCTTCCAGTAGTGTGGGGATGCTGATGGAGCTGTTTGGTCTGTTTGTCAAAGGGGACATCCACCCCTGATCTCTTCCGAGTGCATTCTAGTTTTTAGTCATTCCATATTTTACCTGCTGCAGCATTCTGAGGAATTAGTTTCCTATCATTTTCAGAATGCCTTTTAACCACTTAGTCTAATTGCCAGCAGTGAGAACCCTGACACGTTGATTACCCCAAAGTTAAATGTATAGTAGGGTCCCCAGCACATAGAAACGGCTGGATGCTAACTTGCATATGTTGGGCAATGTGCATAATTATTACAAGTTGCATTAATTAACATTATTAGGCATATGCATTATTGAGGATTATTGAGGAAGCTGAGTTCATTTTCTGAAATGTTCAGGATCAACAATGGCAGTTTTGAGTCCCCTAAAACTTTAAAATTGACTCAAAATTCATCAAAATCAGCCCACCTGGAGTATAAATATGGCCACTATCTTTACCATTTTGTATCCTGAAAATGGCAGAAATGCATTCAGCATCCTCAATTACTCCCAAAACCACTCCAAAATGGTTCCATATGCCAATTAATGCAACTTGTGCTAATTGTGCTAATTGACCAACATATGCAGGTTAGCATCCGGCAGTTTCTGGAAAACTCTACATTTTTATCATAAAGCTTTGGGGTACTAAACATTCCCGGGTTCACTGTGGACTCTGAGCTCGCAACTAGACTTACTCCCATAAGTGAACATGAGATGAATCATTAGCTTTCTTTCATACAAAAACATGAATTATTATACCCCTAGTGAAATTAGCACCCCTGCCTCATCTCTGCAGGGTCTCCCCATTATTCCAGCTGCACATTGATGTTTAAGGATGTGAAACAAGAGTACACTAAACAGCAGAGAAGTGTTTAGGGGGATCTTTCCCTTTCAGAGGGCCGTGCTGCCCAGCGGTGAGTTTTACACCCTGATCTCATCAGAGCAGCGGAGTTACCACTGTAAATATTCTACACAGAAGTTATATATTTAACCCAGGAAATTACTTACTATAATTATTTATAAGTATAGTGATCTATTTAATAAAAAAATGACCTGCTGATAGTAGCTGTAGCCTGCTCTCCCGCTTCAAACACTCCCTTCATGTTTGCACTGAAATACATCTCAATAAGGATAAAGTCACAATGCCATGAACATAACGTTTTAATATCCTGAGGAAAAGTCAGAGTATTACAAAAACAAATATGTGATTGTACGATTACAAAATAATTTAACATATTAAGAAGGAAATAAAGTACAGGGTTAAGAATGTGATAAAAGGCATATTATGAGACAATATTGAAAGTGGTAACTTCACAAGAAAAAAAAGTTATGATTTTATAGCAATAAAGACACATTTGTTAGAACGATTTACACAGAGGAGTAATGAAAATACTTTTTATCGTGGTACACTTTAAATGTATTTTCAGAATATTAAGACTTTGTTCCCATGATATAATGACTTCTTTAGTATATCAATTATTTTTTGATTTTGTGACTTTTGCTGAATTAATATGAATTAACTGTAATAATCTCAAGGTTGTGCACTAACAGTGGCCCTATAAACTGCGGCCACAGCTTTGTGGATCAAAATCAAATGCCCTTTGAAATTGCACATGCAACCAGGTCAGAGTAATGTTTTTTAATTTATATCTAAATGTATTATTGTTTGTGTCGATTATGGAACCTCAGCAACGTCCTCTCACAGGTTTATTTCCTGTAAAGATAATTATTTTTCGCCTAAAACATCCTGCCAGACCTGGGTCAAAGTCCTTCGTGTCCAGGGTTAGCATTTAAACCTTTTCCAGTGCCATATCAAAGGGCCAAAGGTTTTTATTGTTTATTTGTTCTTTAGTTTGACCGTTCTGCTGGGCTTGGAGACACTAACGTCTCGTCTTTTGCACTAGTCCCTTTGACGTCTTTCGGTATAAATCATCACAGATAACATGCTGATGATGTTTTCATTTTTTTGGGTAGATCCTAAAGGACGGGTCAGCTATCAGTCGATTGTGAGAGAGATGTGGTGAAATCTGTGGCTGGCAATTCAAACTGTAGACTTCTCTGTGAGAACCAAAGACAACCTGCTTCAAAAACTCTTACAGGGTCAGAAATGTACAAGCAAACTCTCAATGTGAGTGCTGCTACAACCAACTATTAACACCATGGTGTGACACAGGACAGACTGCCCACAGGACATTATAACTAATCGTAGGCCAGTGAATGAATGAAGACAACTGGAAACGCTGCCGGCGGGCAGTTTTTCCAATGAAAGTTGCTCAGTGGTGGATGAAGCCGAAGTGTCCTGACTTTAATTGCAAATGTACCTGGATCATCACTAGCTCTTCCGCTGATCTTCCATTGGGTGCATAGAGCATTTTAAATTGCATAGTTTTGAAACCCCGCCTCCCAGCCTCAAGCCCCGCCTCCAACATCCCGCCCACTCTCTGCTCAGTCTAATGAATTGAGAGGGAAAATAACTATGGATTCGGCTTTTAATGCTTTTTAAACATTAGGGACCTTTGCTTTTCATTGTTCATCGTGGGTAGTAGATTTAGCTCAAAAGAGATATCTGCTGATTTACAGACACCTCTTTCCCAATGTTAGTCAGTTGGAAAAAGTTTGTTTGGGCAGAATGACGTCACAAACCAACATGAAAGTGTAGTACCCCCGTTTGGCAACTTCAAGAATTAGCTTGGTGTAGGGGCCTTAATGTATCACCAATGGGTTTAGACATTGCTTTGGACATGAAAATATGGGGAAATATGGGAAGTGTGTATGACGTCACACTTAACATGATAGCAACTTGTCTGAACCACCAGACTGTCGCCTGATATCCACTTTTGATGCAACAGGGATATTAAGCGTTTTGGGATTTAATGAAGGTGAATGAGCCTTTATGGGTTTGGCAGAATGGTTTAGAATGTCTCTCATGAAGGTGTCAACATTGAAAAAAATTTTTTGAAATGTTTACTGTAAAGAGTTGTAAAATGTGGATTGAATACAGGTTTATGAGGGAATTAACACAGTGAGGATAACTATTGCAAAAATAATCTCAGCGTAATTGTACTTGTTCTGTAGATAATTGATTTATTACTGTTCTTTATTTAATTAACAACCTGGTGTAAATGAAGCAGAATGTTGTTTATTTTTATGTGAATATAATGCAAAGCCAAATCAATACAACTTTTGATTTGATACAGTGAAATGTCCTGAACCGTCCTCTATCACTGTCTGAGTTATTGATTACATTTGTTTAACAGAACATTTTATATCTTTACTCTAAAATGCACAAACGCTTTGACATTTTGGATAAAGTCTGTCTCTCAACAGAATACATTCAAAGTGTTCTAGCCCTAACATGAGGCCACAGCTGTCTGTGGTTCAGTTAGATTTGTCAAATCAGCTCTGCTTATGTTTTTGATTCTTCCTCTGTAATGATGGGAATTGGTTATTCAGTGCAGCTAGCATCTTGGTGGTTCAGTTGAGCAGTACATTCTTTAAGTCTGTATTTTTACATGAGACATAGATTTCTGGCAGGTGTAGCAATAAACAAATGGTAACAAGATAAACAAAAACAATGCCAAGTATTCAAATCAAAAAGGACATTTATGAAAAAAAAAGAAAATTACAATATGGAAATGTTCTGTCTAAATGCGATTTAAGGCTTTGTAACAGAATTTGACAAATGACAAGAAAAAAGAGTTGATACTTAAGTGTAACTATAAAGAGGCTAGTAGAAATTAATTTGAGTAATCTGTAGAATGTGAAAAACTAAAACTCTCTTTGTTTGAGGCATGTTGGACTGAAATTAAATCTACATTTGTCACTTTCTTGCAAACTGCAGCCTTGACAACTGCAACAAAATAATAAAAAAAACAGCAGTCTCACCAGTAAATAATAGAAGGAGAATAAGAGTTTTGAATATCAATGGTTTAGGCTCTACTTAATTTGCATTGTGTTTTTTATTTATTTGAAAATACATTAAAATGATTCATTAATATTATTTGTGATTTGCAAAACAGTATCTGTTCTCACCTCCAATATTATATTATGTTGTGGCAGTAATAATTACTTCATTTAATATTGTCAGAACTGTTAAGTAATTATTTGTTCACTGTAATGCCTACATTCTGAGATTGTTGTAAGCAACACAATGTGTTTCAGTTAATTTAACAGAAATAATCCCAGAGGACTTTTTGTATGGGAAAAGGTGTGTATCATATTTGTGGGGATTGATGAGGACATTCAACCAATATACTATGTTGATTTATTTAGATGTATTCGGTTTAGTTTGTATGTATGATTACAAAGCTGTGATACGCCTAATGTGCCCAAAGATGAAATACATTAATGTGTGAAATGAAAGGAAATAAAAGGGATTGAATTTAGATAATTAACAGTTTTTTATATTTTTGTGTTGAAAAGCCTCTCATTTTTATTAAATCACAAGCTCTGTAAATTGCTGTTTTGGCGTGCTTTTTTGGGGTAGCGGAAAAACGTTTTGAATAATGATTATTGTTACAGTATTCGTGACCACAACGTTTGCAAATCCCAGAATATATAGGAATTTCACTGTGAAAAGTAACATTTGTCTCATCAATACATATTATATTGTAAGTTAATTACGTAAACATAACATAAAAGTGAAATCGCAACGAATCGAATCTGCAGTTCTGAAAAAGGTTAGAAACTACTAACGTAAACTGACTATTACACGTTTTTGGGGAACGTAGTTTTCTTGCCCCCAGGAGTCTTTCAAGGCAAACGTTTTCCGCTTTGAAAAAAGACTTCATATCCCAGGGTTCACTACGTGTAGCACGTCGCTTGACGGGACGCATTAGCTCACGCTGACTGTCTCTGGGAGTGCTGAGTCGAATATCCTCTCCCCGTTAGAAACCGGCTGCTTTATTCACCTGAATCGGAGACATAACGTTACACTTCGAGTTGGGACGCTCTCAATTACTTCAAGGGGGGACCTTAACGCCGGGTTTTGGGCGGACACTTGTGTTGACAAATAACTGCGTAACGTTAACTTAAATCTCACAGCTGTGAACATCTAAGACCCACGATGGACCCGAGAGACACTGCCCCTGATTCCTGGGAACAAGAGGACGATGTGGAGGCCACAATCGACGGAAAACTTGAAGAAGCATTCACAGCCTTTAATGTGAACGCTAAACCATTTGTGCCCAACGTGAATGCCGTCGAATTTGTTCCGACTTTTCCCATGAATGAACACTCGGAAAATCTCGATTCTGTCGGTAAGTTCACAGACACGTTGGGGGGCTACTTTAGCTAGCAGTTAGCTAGTCGCTAACAGGAGCCGGGGCTGAGTGGCTAGCTCACATGCGTTCTTGAAGCGCTACAAAACTAGCTAGCTGTTTGGTGTAGCAGTAATTAACATTATATACCTGACACTGCAACTTTAACTACAACGTATTAATTATGTATATGTTACTTAGGCGCTAGACTAAATCGTGTTGTTAAAACTTGTAGTGCCCTGTCAAAGCAGTTTTTTAAAGTAATCAACCCAGCCGGCATGAGCATGCTACAACAAACCGGCGCTAGCTAGCATGTTGGTTAGCTGCTGTGGTTTCTCAGTTGAGTCTTTGCCTTTTTAGATTTGTTACTATTTATTCGAAAAAGTAAATGGAACCAAACAAAATGAGCGGCTGCCAAACCGCAATGTTTTCACAGTTTCACCTGAAAACTAAAGCTAAGCACTTGATTGGAAATAAAATAATGGAAACGTGAGTGTTAGTTGTGACGTGGATTTTCTGACGCACTGCCGGTACAGAGGAGTAACATGTGTCATAGGTCGGAAACCGCATGAAGGCACTTCTGACCACAGCAGTTTCATCCCTGTATCAGTGGGGGAACAGGGTTTGAGATCCTTTTCTCGATTAAAAGTACCAATACATTATTGTCAAAATACTTAATTACAATTAAAAGTCCTGCATTCAAACTCGTACTTAAGTAAAAATACAATCATCAAAATGTACATAAAGAATAACAAATAAACTAATTAATTGTGCAGAAATATTGCCTGTATGAAATTATATTTATATGTGACATGTCTAGATAATATCGTTGTAGCATTGTACTGTGACAAAGTACTGATTGACTTTTTGTGAAATATTCAAACAATTTGTATTGTGACTTAAAAGTTAGTCCACTCATTTAATTGTTAGAGATGCATTTTGTTAAAAGTAGCTTAAGCTGTTAAATAAATTGAGTTGAGTAAAATTACTATACTTCCATTTTAAATAGTAGTGGAGTAGAACTATAAAGTAGCATACAATGGAAATACTCAAGTAAAGTACCTCAAAATTGTACTTAAGTACTAGTATTTGAGTAAACTTCCCACCTCTGCCCCATATACACTATTCCTGGATCATTTTACAAAAGAATGTGTGTGCCCCTATGTAAGGATGGACTTGGCAAGAGGATTTGTCAATGTTCTCCACATTTATCTTAATTGTTTTCCTGCCTGAACTTAAGGTGGCCTCTGGTAGTGAAAGCTGCTTGGAACATGGCGAAACAAACTTGTTTTAGCCAGTCGGTTTAGATATTCCTTGTGTTCCCACACTTTTCCTAAAACTACAATAACAGGTCATGCTCCTTTTTTAAGATCACCTGAAAGATTAACCTTTACATTTTTTCTGTTTCAGTTGCTGTGGAGAAGATATCCTCAATGGACGTGTTGGAAAGTGCTGGTATGTGTGCAGCGTTTGTTTAGTGTTGAGAATCTCTCGTGCTGTTACTGCTCACCTCATTGTCCGGACATGTGCACACTGAATGCATGGATTAGCTTAACGTGCCTTTGGCTTTATGGGTAACTGAGACCAAAATACAGAAGTTGAGTGTGCCTTGTCTATTCATTCCTCCTTTTTAAGATTTTAGCAGTATAGACTAGGGATGCACGATATTGGTTTTTTGAAACCGATACCGATAACTTCCTGCTTCTCAAGACCAATACCGATAACCGATAATAAAAAAAATTAACGCCACTAATTATTTTAACGCGATTAACGCAGGTGTATTTTTTGTCCTCGACCGCCCCGTAGTTTCAGAGCGCATCGAGTTTAAAATACCATCTACAAGCTGATGCTGACAGCCCCGCTCCTGCCGCCCGCTTGTGGCAGACCACACTTCCACGCTCACCGGCAGGCACCAACTGGCTGTTGGGAGGACCGGCAGGGTGTGTGTATGTGTGGCGCGAGCGAGAGAGAGACCTTACGTGCATTGCTGTTAGCATCTGGTGCTAGCTAGCTGCGCTAATCGATATAAGGAGCTGTTTAAATGAAAACAGAGGAGCGACATTTCGCCACAACTGCGCCGAGCACTTGACTTTATGCAGGAAGCCAGACAGTGGGACATTGTACGAAAAATCTGTAGTTTTTGCACACCTGGTGGTAAAAAAAGACTAGTAGTGAGCAAATGACATGAACATTACTACTATGAACAAAACAAAGCCAAGAGAACAGTTTTGACTCTTCAAAGTGACCATATTTATTTCCCCAAATAAATATAATTGAGTCAATCAGTCAATGACAATGTGTTTCCCTGAACAATGAGTGAACAATGAGAAACAACTATTACCTGGCATTTATAGGACAACAAGCCTATCAAACATTTGCCAAAAGAAATCAAACAAAAACAATTTGACAACCTGTCAAATAGATTGTAAAATGTAAACATTTGCCATAGCAAGGTGCATCACTTAGTGATATACAAATAAAGGCCTCTACTCCTCTAGAAGGGATGCTGCAAAAGTGCAAATCTTTGCATAAGGATTCAAATTGAAAAACAAACTGAAAAGGTGCATTCCTCACAGTAACATGGGAAGCGTGGCCTCCGACAGATATGACTGGAGCTTTCAGTAAAAAACAAAACACAGAAGAACAAAATCTAATTATGATGATGTTCTGAATATCCGGTCCCATTTGTAACATAAGTTATACATTGTGTTCATAAAACAATTAAAACAAAATATATACACTTACGTTCGCATCCACTCTGCTGTTTTCCTGGTGTTCAGTTGCAGCATCTGTATTTTCTTCGAGGATTGCCTCAAACATGCCCAAGAAGGAGTTGTTGTTCTCGTCTCCCCTGCTGCTCTTTGCCGGTGGCTCGTCTGGCTGGGGGCCGGGGGTGTCTGTGGCACGGCGGTCTCTCTCGACGACGCTGTGCAGCTGTTCCCGCAGCATTTCTATAGCTTGCCGTTTTTATGCAAGGGTGAAGTAGCGGTCCTTGTACCTCGGGTCCAATAGCGTTAAGAGATAATACAAGGGCTTTTCCTCGATGTCACAAAAACGCGTTTGGATTGCTTTTAACAGGGTCTCCTTTGAAGTTTTCACTCCGTGGTCTGTTGGAACAGTTTGTTTTAGCAGGCGCGTTAAGGCTTGGATGGAGGGCATTACGTCTGCCGTTGTGGCTGTAGTTTTGCTAATATTTCTAGTCAGCTGTTCACATGGATCGAGGATGGTCAACATGTCTCTTAGGACAACATGGACCATCTCTTTACTAATGTTCCATTGCTGAAGCATGGCTTCAAAAGCCTCACGGATCATATCAGCTGTGTGTGAACCTGGTAGCTCCTGAGAATGCAACACCACTCTGTACAGTTTGTAGTCTTTGTCCAGCCACTGCGCCGTCAGACCTAGCATGCTAACGGGGCTAACATCACTGGTCCATATGTCCGTGGTGAAACTTATGTCCCGTATATCGTTATCGATCAGAGTATGAAGGAGTGTGGCGATCTCATTATACTTGGCTGGTAAACACTCGTCTGAAAAGTGGCGGTGGCTTGGAATGATAAACCTGGGCTCCAAATGATTAACTAGCGGACTGAATCCTTTATCTTCGACGAGGGAGAAGGGCTGGTCGTCAAGCGCCATCATTTCTATGATGAAGTTAGAGATTGTTTTAGCCCTGGGGTCGTCTCTGGCAAACGTCTTGCCTTTTTCAAAAGCCTCGTGGATAGGTAAAAGCCCCGGTGCCTTTGCAGCTGGCTTTGGATTTGCCGCTAGTTTAGCAGCGCAGGCGTCTTCGTACGCTTTTAACACACCATCGTAGCGATGGCGATGTTTCAGGTGACTAATCAGGTTGGAAGTATTATAGCTCGTTGCCTTTTTCCCTCCTCGTGGAACTTCTGCATTGCATTTGTTACAAGCGAACTTTCCAACTCTAAAACTTTGAACTAGTCCCATACCACCGACGACATGTTTGTTTGCTGCACACCATTTACGTCACAGCCAGGCACGAGTTGGGGAGCGCTGGATTTGTGAAAAACTCCCCTCTTCCTAAACCACTAATACCACAGTACTGGCAAAACGGGAGGAGCCGAGTGAAAAACAAGCGCCCCTCATCCCAATCCACCCACACCGCAGTATTTTTTTCTTTTTTTTTACCCAAAAAATATATTTTATATTATCGGGGCTATTAATACTGGTATCGGGTTTATCGGGATGACGTCATAATTCCTAATATTGGACCGATAATTATCAGGCCGATAATTATCGTGCATCCCTAGTATAGACTCTACATCTATATCCTGCACAAGGGGCCTTCTTGCAGATTAAGATTGAGCTCACAGTGTTTGCCCTGAATAGTGAGTTTAGTTGTAGATTAGCACATGTTTGTTTTGTCTCTGGATCTTGCTCTGACACATTTACAGGAACTATTATCACTTTGAACACACATGGCCATATTTCAGTGGCCGATAATCTCACATTTTAGAGAGGCTTGTGACTAATTCAGCATACTTAATCAGTTGAGATGCTATTTGTTATGATTAAGGCTGTCAAACAATTACAATTTTTAATCAGATTAATCACAGCTTCAAAATTAATTAATCACTATTCGAACTATTTTCCAAAATATGCCATTTATTTATGTATATTGTTGTGGGAATGGAAAGAAGGCGGATATATCCATTTAACATACAGTATGTATGTTTATTATAACATTTTTCTGCATGTCAAAATGAAAGACAGCCCACACACCTATCAATCATCAAACCGTGGGGTCTTAATTCATTACGTGTTGATTTCTATCAACGGGGGAGTACTTCAGGAAAGTCGACAGAGGGGGGCGGCTAGTGGAGTACTTCGTGACCACAGAGTGTGAACGTTGTGATCAGCTGTTTTAGCGCAGTTCTCCAGTGAAGGGGGGGGAGTCTCCCTCCGCAGCCGGTTGGCGTAGTTTTGGCACAATTCCGTTGAACAGACCGACGTTAACAGCAGCCCTGTCTGTGCACACGGAGACCGACTCTGTCGTCCGGTGATCTAACCGCCTTCTGGAAAAGCTTCACAAGTACGTCGGTACGCAAATGCGCTTTGTGACACAAGTGACGGTACGCATTTTAGATTACGCACATAACCTGCGTACCAGTTATGTGCACCCCTGTACTACAGCAAAAGTATTCTCCGTCGGGACTTCCTGCAACAACACCACGCCGTTATCAAAGATGTTCTATTGAGAAGACGATCACTACGTGACAAAAGTTTTCAAAACCGTGGCTCCTGAAATCAATCTTACTAACTGCTGTCTGTGCAATTTACTCCGCGAGTTGGCAGACTTTATTTTGCTTCCTTGAACATCATTTTTCATGGTGGGGCTAAGCCATTTCTGGTGTAGCCTACCCCAGCCATACCCTGGCGCTGCCACTGGTGGCACGTATGGGGCGGGCCATTCTGCACATGCGTTAAATGCGTTAAATATTTTAACGCAATTAATTCAAAAAATTAATTACCGCCGTTAACGCGATAATTTTGACAGCACTAGTTATGATATATGTGCTTCTTTTAGTGCTTTTACAAGTGAGCTCCTTCAAAGGGTATTTATTTTCCTTCGATTATGTTAATAGTTACACAAATAGTTGTAAACTAACATTGATTACATTACCTTATCATACATACAGCATTGGGATATTTTTTTTAAATCCTCTGGAGCAGAGAGAGGAGCTGTGGATTATTGTTATTGATTAATGCATCAGTGTTTCTTAGGGTCAAAAACACTAAACTCACAACTTAAAATGAAAGCGTTTAGTATATTTAATAAAAGAGCACATGTTCAATGTGAAAAGTAAATATAGATTAGTTGCAATTTGGTGCTATATATATTTTTAAAAAAATTATATATATATTTTTTTTTTTAAACACCTTGAATTTCAGGGGGGGCGCGGGGCTCCGTTGGCGGGGCAGTGTCCCCTCCAAGACAATGGAAAGGGAAACACTGATGTTATCTTCATATAAATCGCAACAAGCCAAAACATTTAAATTACTAAATTTCTGCTACTGTGTGAGATGGGAAATGAGAAGTACACATTTATTCAACAGGGACAGTGCACATTATATGTTCCTGAAAATGCTCCAGGGTTATTTTTTATGTGTAGTACCTGGACAGATGTTTTCAAGTCACCCTTAAACCAAGTAGCGATTAATATATGGTGATAACTTCCTGCATTCACAACAGTGTGGAAAGCTTACCTTGCCAGCTCACAAATAAGTCTTATATAAGATTAGATGTTCTTATCACAAATTGGGAAATGGTTTAATTTGGAGACTGTTTGGATTATATCGCCAAATGAACATATAAACCTTGCGACAGTAGAACCATACATTTACACCTTTTAAGAAACTATAGGCTGGAAAACATAACATCTTATCCAATGACAGTAGACATGCAGTCTACAGTGTTTCCCACAGAATTT